AAAAAAAAAAAAAAAACAAAAAAAAAACAAAAACAAAAAAACAACAACAACAACAAAAGTTGTGAGGCGGTAGGAGATGGCTGAGTGGGTAAGAGCCTTGCTGTGCAAGCCTGAGGATCTGAGTTCAAGTCCCCAGACCCCATGGGAAAAGATGTGCATGGCTGTAACCCAGTGCTGGGGGTCAGAGGCGGGTGGATCCTACGACCTCACCTGCCAGTCAGCCTAGGTTCAGTGGGAGACTCTGCCTCCGGGGAATAAAATAAAATAAAATAAAAACAACTTCTCTGTCTTCTGTGGGTACACACACACACCCCACACGCAGTGAAATACAAGAAAGACAACATATGAACCACAAAGCAGAAAGGATGTGCCATGTGGCCCTTTGTTGGGAAAATTTGCCAGCCCTGGATCTCGATGGTTTGTGGAAACTTCTGGGAGAGCCTCTGGTGTGGCTTTGGCGAAGCTCTCTAATGTGTGTCATAGAATAGCAGAGTGGTACCTCTCACACTGCCTGTGGCCCAGGACCAGATGAGCAGATGTCACTCAAACGTGGTGGAGTCCTCTCGTGCACACACGCTCACTGGTCACACAGCTACAGTCTCCATACACTAGGTTTCGGCTGACACCCCCAGTACCTGGTACACCTGCAGGCATGGCATCTAGAAGAACGATTCCAAAGCCAAGTCTCTCTCTGGATTAAAAATAACTTAAGAATTGGATGTGGACCAGGCTCTGCATTGGGTATGCTGTACCTTTTTAGCCTCATGACAGCCCTATAGGACAGAGTTGCTACTCCCTCCTTTTTGCAGATGAGTCAAACGAGGCCTGGAGGGGTTAAGTGACTTTGTCATGGTCCTAACATTTAATTACACAGCTGGTAGGGAAGCAATCAAAATCCAGAAGTCTGCATCCAGAAGCAGTTAAGTTCTGTGTGTATCTCACACCTGAGCAATACAGGTTGATTCAGGGCAAGGCCACCTGTAAGTCAGAGAGAGCCACAGTGAACTGTGAGCATGCCAGGAGGTCCTTTCGCTTCTGTCCTGAGAGAGACTTGCTTCTCAGACAGGAAAGGGAAGGAAGCTGTCTGACGGACATGCAAGAAGGGAGGCCATGATGGCCAGAGGGACAGAGGTCCTGGTGGGATTGTAAAGGTACTGTGAAGGCTAGTGGGCCCCTTTCTGAGACTCTGTGAGTAAAGGAATGAGACAACACAGTGGGAAATGGATGCTGGGAACGGATCTGAGCCGAGCTGCTGGCAGCCCAAGGAGCCTGGCTGGGCTGTGTGCAGAGAAAGGTGGGAGCAATTCTGTGAAAGGCAAACCAGGGGCACACATCCTCAGGGGGTGCCGTTGGCTGTCCCAAAGCCAGTCCTGCTGGGGGTGCGGGAGGCAGAGGATAACAGCCTCAGACCTGGGAGGGAAAAGGGAAGCTAGAGGTTTGGGGAGAGATGGAGAAACTGACAGAGATGAGGAGGATGGAGAGGGCTGGAGAGCTGGCTCAGGGATGAGAGGCTGCCGCCTGTGCAGAGGACCCAGGTTCAGTTCCCAGTACCTGCGTGGTGGCTCGCCATCACCTGTAACTCTAGTTCCAGGGGAGCCAATGTCCAATTCTGACCTCCAGTGTCACCAGGCACAGATGTGGCGTCAAACATATAGACAGGCAAAACACTCACACACATGAAAAAAAAATAAAACCAAGACTCCCCACTTGAGCCCTGCACTCAGGAGGCAGAGGGCTGTATCAAGCCCAGCCTGGCCTATGTAGAGTTCCAGGGCAGCCACGGATACACAGTGAGACCCTCTGTCAAAAAGGAAAAAAGAAGAGGGAATCCAAATATAAGAGCTGGAAACACAGTAAGTGCAGCTCTCGGCCCAAAGTGGGCGAGCCACACTCCCAAGAGAAGGGCTGCTGTCTTTGGAGCCGGAGCAGAGGGCATGTGAACCCCGCCATGTGCCTAACTGTGGCAGTCATTCTCCGTGGCAGTCATTCATTCTCTGTGGCAGTCACTCTCTGTGGCAGTCATTCTCCGTGGCGGTCATTCTCCGTGGCAGTCATTCATTCTCCGTGGAAATCATTCTCTCTGTGGCGGTTATTCTCTCCATGGCGGTCATTCTCTCCATGGTGGTCATTCTCTGTGGCAGTCATTCTCCGTGGCAGTCATTCTCCATAGCGGTCATTCTCCGTGGTGGTCATTCATTCTCCGTGGTGGTCATTCATTCTCCGTGGCAGTCATTCATTCTCCGTGGCAGTCATTCTCTGTGGCAGTCATTCTCCGTGGCAGTCATTCTCCGTGGCGGTCATTCTCCGTGGCAGTCATTCTCCGTGGCATTCTCCGTGGCAGTCATTGTTTGGTACTTAGCCTCTGTTTGTAGCTTAAGCCAGTCCCAGTGGGCACCCTGTCACTGTTTTTTGTATCTAAGGAGTTCACGGTCTCCTGGAGGCAGAGTGGGAGTCACGGTTGGCACTGGTTCTTCATCTTTGTGAACACCAGGTCAGTGGTGGAGTCCACATTTCTAACAGAGAGAGTCTGACAGGTAGATACACAACCAGCACAAATTAGAAAAGGGGCAGGCTGCTCTGGGAAGTGAGTCCCACTTGCTCCCTTCCCAGAGATAACCACCATTCTAGTCTCTAGGAGATGACACGCACATGTCCGATCTTACATCACAGAGAGCCACGTGGCACGATGACTTCTTCTATTTTTTTTAAACTTAAGAATACATTTGGAGGTGTTCCCACTTCAACTGGCATGGCACTTTGCCATTATTATAAAAGATGGAGTGCTCATTGTCCAGATCCACGACACTTTTGAAACGCAAAGCCATTCTGTCTCGAGTCTCCGCTGCCTCGCTTGTCTTTATAGACTTCATTTGGCATGATGTGCGCACTTCTCTGGAGAGGAAATTCTTAGAAGTGAAATGACTGTCGAGGGGGCACAGACTTAGAATCCTGACAGTTCGTTCTTTCCCCTTGGCAGAGCGAGGGAGAATCTGTTCACCCGAGGGACTCAAGAATCAGGCATGGAAGCCCTGCCCAGCAGAGTCTCCAAGCTGGGCCTGGCATCCGCCCTGAGAATTCCAGAGGAGTCCCAGCCAGAACCCCACCCAGCAGGTTTCCTCCTAGCCTCTCCCTTTCTCAGAGTGGGCCACAGTGTAGCAGGCCCGCTCTTATTCTTCAGCTCCCACAAGGCTCGGCTCTGCAGACTTGCTGAGCGCTCCAGCCATGCAGGCTCCAGGCTCCCGGGTGCTGACTGCAAGGCTTTCTGTCCGCTCAGAGGTCAGGGGCTTTCTCCAAGGTCAAGGCTAGTTGAGCAGGGATTTTCTGCATCAGTGAGGACTTGCCTTGTGTCAGGGACTGGAGTGCAGGCCACAGCAGGGTGAGAGTCACATGAATAGAACAGGGAGCCAGCCTAGAAGAGAACAAGAAAAGTGGAGATGGTTAGCAGTTAGATACTGGGTTGTTTTTCAAGAACAATAGTTTTACAACGTCTTACTGCAGTTAAAACTGCATCATTGACAAACCTCTCTAATCTATGTGCATCTGCCCCTGTGACTGCCAGGGAGGCTGGGCAGGGCTGACCATGTTCTCCCACTTCTGACCAGGGCCAGAGCTGGGGGCTCCATGTCTACAGACGACAACCCTGCCAGGGACCCACCCAGTTACAAAGCGCTGCTGTACGGTAGACAGTGATCATTTATTCAGTCAGCAATCTTTACTGAGCGCCTGCTAGCACCAGGTGTGGTCATAGGTGTTGAGTCTAGGACCGTGGGCAGAAGTCTGACAAGTCATGTGTCATGAAATTATACGCAAACAGGATTACATATTTACATTATATATCTTGGTGGAATATGGAAGGTGGTAATGATTGCTGGCGAGGACGGAAAAACAGAGAAGGGGGGATGGAAGTGAGGGGAGAGTGGAGACGCTTTACTAAGGGAGTTCTGGGGGAACCTCACTGAGAAGGCGGCCGTTGAAGAGAGACCTCTAAGGAGAAAGGAAGGGAGCCGTGCGGTGTTCGGAGAGAAAAGTATTCTAAGAGAGCAGCGGGTGCAAAGGCCCTGAGGTAGGTCCTCTGCCTTCCTGTGTGCTTTCTCTTGGATGGGATCAGGTGACTTGCAGGTGGCACATGCTGTCCAGGTCTTTAGGAATACTGTGACAAGCTTCCACTGTCTACTAGTCCTTCCTCCTCTCCCGTCTGCACTACTTGTAGGTATTTCAGGAGCAAAACAATTGTCATTGGGCTTATGCTTTGGGGGCGGGCTACTGCCGTGGAGGAAGGGCTTGCGGTCTGTGTATTTAAACCCTGGGAGTCCATTTTCATTTTGTAGTGATTACTGACCCTACAGGTTTACCGAGAGGGTTTTCATTGCCAGGACAGGTTTATATATACTATCACCCGAGGGGCCATGTGCCCTTTCCAGACCAGTTCTAAGTCATATGAAATGGCCACACTTGTCACCTGTGATGTTAGCCTCCTTGTAGCCCCTGGCAGACCTCTGAGCTAGAAGAATCAAATCCGAAACTTTGCTTTTGGTAGGAAGTACTCCTCAGATGTCCACGTTTGAAAACCCGGGGAGACTAGAGACATTTGCACCTGGAGTGTTTGAAATCTGAGCAGTGGATGTGAATCACATGACAAGAGCTGGCAGACTGTCACCCTTTTGCTAGCTGGCTGGCTGGCCACCCCTCCTCACCCTCGCACTCATCTGCAGGCTCACGGATGCTTGCAGGCGATCACGCGGCACTGAGCCACCCCGGGGAGACATGGAAGAGCATGGTGCGGAGTGTATCCCGTTTTGTAGCTGTGGGCAAATGATAAGGATAACAGGAAAAGGAAGGTGTGCCTCTAAAGGCAGTAAAATGTTGGGCTCCTTTTTCTCTTTGGTAGGTTCGTAGTCATTTTCACAAGTTCTAACCAAGTTAGAGGGTGGGATCTCTTCCAAGGGACACACGCATGCAACAGCCTGGGAGGGGAAGCTAAGGGCAGCTGGAAGCATCCCGTCCCATGTGCCAGGAAGAGTACAAGGATTGCAGCAGCAAGGAAGTGAGAGACACGTTTTGCTCCTTGGCTTAAGTGATTCTCCTGCCTCAGCCTCCTTAATAATTGCAATTATAGGCACGTGCTCACGTGCCTGGCTTTCTGTAGACAGTTAAGCCCACTGGATAGGCACCAGCTCAGTAGCCGATGTCTGCCTGCTCTATGAAAAGCCCTGGGTTCCACCTACAAGCAAGCTGCTGGCCCGCTCTGTGTAGGGAGCATGGCAGTGCAGACTCTTCTCTTATCGGAGTGGGGGGGGTGTCCGAGACTGCAGATTCCTAGTCTCCGAAAGCCGTCTCAGAACAATCACGTATGTGCTCGGTGACTTTCGGCCCGGTAGGCTCTCAGTACACGGCGGTGCTTGAAAGCCTCCTTGGATCCCAAGTCGGAATCTAAAACTCTGCGCACAGCCTTGTTCTCTCTCGTCTTTGAAGTGTGCTGTGTACAAAGGGCCTCGGCAGAACCAACCACTGGGATTTCCCATGCGTACCTGCTCTCTTACAGCGCTTGCTCTGAGGCCTCCCGTGAACCCCCAGTGTCCCTCCAGCACCCCATTTCTCAGGCTTTTTTCTCCATTTGCCCTACAGCTGGGCATCACAGCAACTAGCTAATCATTAGACAGACCAGAGAAGCTTTCCCCCCTCCCCATTGTGTTAAGTCAATTTTGAGAGATAAAAGCAGTATTGCTTGGATCCTCGGCTCGGCTCTGGGGGCCAAGGGGGGGGGGTTAACAAGCCTTTAGTCATGGCTACCTTCGTTACAGGCACAGAGCCCAGAGGTAAATACATCCTCCAAATGACCCACGCTGTTAAGTGGAAAATGTCACTATGACCTGTTTCAGTGTGTTTAAGCTTGTGCTTTCTTTTTCTAAGAAACTTTTATTTCGTGTTATTAAGTTTAGTTTTTAAGTTTATTTAGTGTTATGAAGCAATAGCCAAGTGGGATTAAAAAAATATATAAAATTTAAGTTCAAAAGGTCAAACTCTTCATCACACTCCTCTCTACCCTTAGTGTGGGTGTGTGTACATCACACACATGCACACATAGCCACACGCATCCAGTCCTCTGTACCTTCTCATATACACAGTATCAGTCTCATGCACACAGTGTCCTGCTTCTCACTTTTTAAAAAAAACAACCAACAATATGTCCTGGAGATTGTTCCACATCAGTTCCTGGGATTTGTTTTCATCATGCATTCCAAACACACAAAGCAGCCACTTTCTGATAATTTCTCTCTCCTCAGTATGTAGCAGTTGATGTTCACCCATGGTTTCCCCTTGCTGGTAAGCAGTTCCTACCACACAACGACATCTGGTCATATTTCTTCAATTGCCTTCCAGATAAAATATCTTCGTAAACATTAGTGCCTTTGCCCGGAACGGAGAAGTAAACAGCTTTCTGTGATCGGGGCCCTGCAAGCACAGTGATGTCACACTACTGTTAATTTAAACCACATCCTGAACCAGGTCCTTTAAGGTCATAAAATGGGGACTCCAAGCACTGATCTATCTTCTGAGACTGAGGCATGTTTTCTCTTGTTCCAGAAACTAGAATGAACCGAAGCATTCCTGTGGAGGTTGACGAATCAGAACCATTCCCAAGTCAATTGCTGAAACCAATTCCAGAATATTCCCTGGAAGAGGAATTGGAACCACCTGCTCCAAACACAAGGAACATGGCACCCAGCAGCTTGTCTGCACTCCAAGCCCCTCACCATGCTTCAGGAGACCTTTGTCAGGCTCACCCTCCCCTGAAACTTGCGAATCACCAGCCTGTGTCACAACAGGTCACCTGCCTGCGCACTAAAGTCCTGGAGGAGAGTGAAGCCAGTTTCCTGAGAAGGTACCCCGATTCTGGCAAAGGGGTTTGCTCATGCTCGTCTGAAGCCAGCGAGCCTGAGTCCGAGTCTGTGCTTGGAGCCCTCCCCCCAGAGCACCGGTTTTCACTTATGGAAAAACGCCATAGACGCCTGGGATCTCAGCTTTCAGCACCTTCTCCCGACACTGGCCACGACTCAGATAAATCGGACCCAAGTTTACCTAATGCTCTGGCAGACTCCTCTAGTGGTGGCCAAGAGACGATACCTCGGCCCTGGCCCCCCAGGAACAGAGGAGCCCCAGATGTGCCCACAATAGACACCGGATATGATTCCCAGCCCCAAGACGTCCTGGGCATCAGGCAGCTGGAAAGGCCACTGCCCCTCACCTCCACATGTTACCTGCAGGACCTCCCTGGGCCTCTGAGGTCCAGGGAGTTCCCTCAGTTTGAACTTCAGAGGCATCCAGCACATGCGCAGAGGCTGCCTCTCAATCCTTCCCCACAGGCTCCATGGAACTATCAGTATCAGTGCCCTGGAGGGCCCTATCACCAGGCGCCATGTAAGTGATCTTTATCCTTCTGGGCTTCTGGACATTCCGGGCTAGGGGCCTCACAAAACTTTCAGTGTCCCCAGACTAGCAGTAAGGGAAGTGTTCCCTGGGGCAGGGGGTGTGAACGTGCAGTGTGTTTGCCAGGGGGGCTTCGTAGGAAGCATTTTCTTAGCCAAGGCCCCTCTCACCTAAATCTCCCTGTAGGAAACTTTCACAGGACCAAGTGGATCCCTCTGTTGAACAGTTGAAACCTGCCTTGAGGCAGAGAGAAGATGCTGACTGATTTCTAGAAAATTCGTTTGTCCTAGTCGTTGGGGCTTCTTTGTGGGTCCTTCCTTTCCCCGGTCTTTTCCTATCAGGGTTGGCTGAGCATGTGGGCGGGACCGGGTGCCAGCTGAGTGCCAACCCCAGCACAGGTGTGGTGGATTGCTTAAGTCTGAGTCACTGAGAACTTTGGTAAGCAGATGTTGTGTTTAGTTCTCAGAAGTCTCCAGGTTAGTTTTAAAAGCTGTTGAAATTCTACTTATCTGCCTGTAGAGATACTTTTTCTGATAACAGCAGTATGTGGGTAGATATTTCCTTTACCCAAATAGAATTCCCTATCAGGATTTTGATACATTTGCCTCCGGTGGGTTTGTTTTTATAGATATATTTGCATGTGTATCTAATATAAAATCCAATGACACCGAGTGTACTTTTTTCAGCAGCGTTCTAAAATGTTGAATTGGGCGAGTGTGATGGCTCAGTGATTAAGGGGACTTGCTGCCACGCCTGAAACCTGAGTTCCATCCCTGGGACCCACATGATGGATGGAGAGACATCTTGCAAACTGTCCTCTGGCTTCCACATGTGCACCGTGGCACCCAAGAGAGCGGGCACACACACCACTCACACACACAAATGGAAAAGCTAGATAAAATGTTTAAATGCTGAATTGCATTTCATTAGATAGATTGCTAAGTTATCATTAACTTGTCCTCTGTTGTCAGACACTTAAAATGTTTCCAGTTTTCTGGTCTAAGAATCAATACTATGACAAACATTATTTTTATCTGCATTTCTGGTTAACCCCTTAGATAAAGGTGCAGAAGTGTGAACACTTAGTCAAAGGCCTTGCAAGCCCCAAGCAGACAGGAGATTGCTTCATCATGATAGCAAAACAGCATTGACTCTGATAATGAGAGTCCAGGAAGATCTTCCCACTGCAAAGTTTTTTTTTTCCCGTTGAAGGCTTTGGAGGTAAGCATTGCCCCCTCGGGCAGCCTCCTTTAAGGCAGACATGACCAAATGGGGACACTTCATCTCTCATGCCTAAGAGCTAGCTTTCTGTCACCGGGCTCACCTTCCCCTGGCCCTCTGTGTTATTTCTTCTGTTGAAAGGGGCTGGAAGGGACTCTTTGATCTTAAGAATGCGGAGAGATGAAGAAAAGACAGACAAGAGAGGACTTGGGCTGGACATGGGAGTAATTCACATACAAAATACAAAGAGCGGAAATGCGAGTGAGACCTGGGCCACAAACGGTGCTGGAGAAACGGGTCAGCAGTTCAAAGCATTTGCTGCTTAGAGAGGACCTGAGTTCAGTTCTCAGCTCACAACTGCCTGTAACTCAGCCCTGGCCAGGGCAACCCAATACCCTGATCTCCAAGGACACCTGCATTCACATACATGTGTATACGGTATACACACACACACACACACACACACTGATTAAAAAAGAGAGAAACTATACATTTTATGTAACGATGGATGCCGAAATAAAAACTCTGCACAGGCTCGGTGTTAGTGGGTATAGGACAAGGAACAGTTCAGACACTTTCGGTAAGAACAGGCATTGGTGCAATTCTGGAAGGCAATTTCATTATTTATCACATTTTTTTTGAGTCTTCTCTTTTGGACATCAGTCTTACTTTTAGTAGTAGATTCTAAAGAAACACCAAACAAATAAAAATATATGCAGACACATGTTTATTAAAACACTGTGGGCTGGAGAGATGGCTCAGCAGTTAAGAGCGTGTGCTGTTCTTGCAGGACCTGAGTTCAATTCCCAGCACCCACATCAGGCAGCTCACTTTAAAGGCCTACAGCTGCAGCTGCGGGGGGGATCTGATGCCTTGGGCTTCTGTGGGCACCTGCTCTCAAATGCATAAACACACATGCTGACACCCGTGTTATTTAAAAAACAAAAACTATTAAAAAGAAAAAAAAAAAACAAACCCCAAACCCCCAAACCAAACACTGCTGGTGGCCGCAGAGATGGCTCCCAGATTAAGAGTACTTGCTGCTCTATCCAGAACGACAGAGTGTCGGTCCCAGCGCCCACATCACACGCTGGGCATCCTATAAACACCTGCTCCAAGGGATCCGATGCTCTTTTTCTGGCCTCTGTGTATGCGTGCACATGCATGCACACACAAATAAACAACGTATTTAAGCAAAACATTGTATGCAAGTAAAAAAAAAACCAACCGCCTATGACTAAAGGGCCAGAGCAGTAGAGCTGATCCCTGATCCAAGAGTGTAACTTCAGGATGGTGTGAAAGGATGGATTGGGCAGAGACCGGAGGGGACCACAGTGCATGGTCAGCTCCAGATCTGGGGGGAAGCAGCGCATCAGTTGCAGGGTGCTCCGCGGCAAAGGTAATGATGCCGAGGGAGTTGGGTGCAGTAAATACATTTCAACCTGCCATCTCGGTTTAGAATGAGTGTTCTGAGACACAGACTAACGTGGGTTGAAGAGCACCTGCATGCTATGATTTATTTCTTCAAGTGCTCTACTTGTTCCCCGTTGTATAGCATAAAACAGTGTACGTATTCGGACATAAAGAGGGTTAAAGCAGAAAGCAAGATGCAGAGTTGATCCCATACATGCTTGCTTATTCAAAAGGAAACGACATATGTTCATACACACCTTTAAAAGTCCTGAAGAATTGCACCGGTTATTAACAGGAGACAAAGTAAGGGTTAAGAGGGAGCAGGGGTATTTTTCCTTGTAATCTTATACAGTTTTGCTAATTTTAAATAGCAAACTATTCCTATAATTAAAAGATAAATAAAAATTGAAAGGAAGAAAAAGGAATGCATAACACCCGAGCGTGCCTTAGTTCATGCTGCATATCCTTGACCCCCTTTCCTGAGAGCCCCAACCATAGGGACGGTATCGGGGTGGCCAAGTGCTTAAGGTTCTCTGCAGGATACTGCAGCCCTGGAATATTAATGATGTGCCTAGCAGAAAGGCTCCTGGGAGGGTGCTCCGAGGACTAAATGAGACAATGCATTAAAAGCTCTAGGAAAAGTGTGGCTGGCTGCTAGCAGGTTCTCAGCACTGGCTGCTCTTAGTTTTCCTATGATCTGGAAATGGATCCCACCGCCCAGCACTGTAGAGGACGCCTTCACTTTCAGATCCCTCTTGCTGGCATGGATTTTAGAGATTCAGGACAGATATACAAATTCGCAGTTGCATGTCAGGGTTATAACTGCACTTAATTGCCAACAAAACCACTTCAAAAGAGCTGTTCACCTGAGGGAGGCTGTGCACTGGAAACCATGGCTACGTGGCTCTACTCAAGCTTTAGAAGAGCATTACTTCCTTGCCTGTTAATGAATATATAAATAAATAATGATCACCATGCAAATGGTGTGTCTTTGCATTTTGCAAGTTAAAGCAAAAGTAACGTTACTGGTCACCTTTTTCATGTAAAAAAAAAAAAAATCCAAAGCAAATGAAAACAGGAGCTGAAACAGCCTACAGTTTTCTTCAGCACAGCTCCGGAAGTTGGCCCCTGTTGTCTTAAGAACCCTTCCACTGCAGGTCACAGATGAAGCTTGTGTAAGCAAGCCAATCAAGCCCGCAACACAAATCTATTTGGGCCAAAGACGGCCTGGGATCTAATGAGCCCCTGTGCTTTATACAGTTTTTGTTTTCTTTATTATGGAGACAGAATACGGCATGTGGGCACATGCTCCCATGGACCAAAGCGGGCTGGGGGTGGGGTGGGGGCGGGGAAGAGGGCGCATGTGACTGTTTGTATGCTAGAATGCATGCACAGTTAAAGCAAGGAAAAATAAACCAGATGGAAGCAATGATAAAGGAGGGAGTTGCCTTGCAGGAGTCCCAGCTGCTTACAGCTGTGGCAGTTCTTCTAACAGTTTATGTTGGCCATTTTGTTTCCTGGCTAAACTGATTGCATTTTATCATGATGTTTTTTGACAACTTGAAAATCCAATTTTATTTTCTCCCTCATAAGCTCTTTTACTACCATTCTTAATAAGGAAGAAAAATGTTGACTGTTTTCCCTGATACATGGAAAACCTCATTTAAGGCTTGGTTTACAATTCCAAGTGGTAAGAGCCCAGTGCCATGAAAACTGTCTGTACTGAGGCCAAGCGGCTCACAGGGCTGACAAACAGCACTCGGTACTGGGTGCTCATTTAAGATTGTGCAAGCTTTTCATTTGTGCTGTTTTCGTGCTGTGTTCAACGCTGCCTCGGAACCGAGGAGTTACTATGCTAGCAAAGTCATTTGTCTGTCACATCACCCACCTTCCATCTCCTACAGAATAAACTCCCTTGATGGAATTTTAGGCATAGAAGTCTGTGGGAAGCTATTTTTGAGCAGTGCTTCTCAAGTAGGTGGCTGCTGATTTGTATGCCTTCCCTTCTCACACACACTGACGAGTGTGGGTTTGTGTTGAAAAACAGACACCTACAGACACACAGATTTCTCCCTGTCTCTATTTATCTTGAGCTGCACAAGGGAACTGTACCACATTTATCTTGGTTCCTTGTGTGCCTGGGAGTAGAGGGTCTATAAATATTTGTTGAATGAGTAAAAAGAAGAGTCTACCTTCTGGGGGAGGGAGAGACCTCTCATCATTGGTCGAGATTTTTGTGACATCAAGGCTTTGAAAGGCCATCTTTAATTGTGTGGTAGGAAAGGAAAGAAGGGAGGAGCATGAACTTGTAAATAGAACTTGCCCGTTCATTTATCAATTTACTAAGTAAAAGTTGCCGTGTTATCTGCTGGACACTGCATAGATAGTACCAGACACAGGCGAGCAGACAGAAAGTAGGTAGAAATATGCACACACCATGACAAAAGCGTGCATGCCATAAAGGAACTAGCCAGGGGCTGGAACGGCTGTTCATAGGCAGGCAGCCAGAGTGGGTCTCACTGAATGGACGGTTGAGCTGAAAACTAAAGAACGAGAATGCCAAAGAGGCAAGGAGACTGATGTTGCTAAGGTGCCAAGAACAAGGCCGTGGGCCAGAGGAGGTGGGGCAGGGAGAGTGATTGGCCAGAGAAGACAGGATGCAAGGCCTGGGTTCCATTCTGAGTTAGACTATTCCTTCCGGGAAACAGAAACTCTAACTCTGTCATCCTGAGGAAAGCATGGAGCTAGCAAGGCCTGGTCATGCTAGGGGAAGAGAATGATTACAAGTTGAGCAATGAGGTCTGGCAGTGTGGCTCAGTGGGTAAGGGTGCCAGCCACTAAGCCGACAACCTGTTTGATCCCTGGGACCCACATGGTGGAAAGACAAGACCAGTTCTCACACACTGTCCTCTGACCTCCAGGCATGCATGTGTGTACGTACTTGTGCACGTTGACACAATAAACGTTGGTTATTTATCTAATAAACTTACTTTTTATTTTGACTTTTCTATACAGCTAGCCAAATTTCCTGGCAAAAACGGCCCAGGTTCCACATACAGAAGGAAAGGCTTACTTTGGTTGACCCTCTGGTATTCGGCCCTTGTTTTGAACAAGAGGATGACACAGGCTATTAGATTGTTGGGACTCGAATTTAAAAACCGACGAGGTGGATCATTTTCATCTGCTTGTATCCACTGGTGCAGCTTTTTTCTACCACAGGTGGCCGTTTCAGAACTGAGAGTCACAGCTAGTCAAACACTCAGCCCATGTGCCTGGTGATTTTAATGATACGATTTGTTGCTATGAGACAAAAACATGTTGTGCAGGGAAATAATCTGCTCGCAATCATCTGACCTTGATTCAAAGGCTTTTGATTAACAGCACTAACATCCGCCTTCTGGAAGAGGAGCACACCCTATGATTAGAGCATGCTAGTCCTTTTAAAGCAAATAAAATGTTATTAGCCATTCATTAATGGAGATGGGGAGCAAAAAAATGGCTCTAAACAGTGAAAACTTCACTTGAGTTTACTTCCAGCATCTCCCTTGAAAAAGCTTTCAAGGCCCTGGCAGTTTCTCCCCTTTGACCTTGTCTCTCTCATTTCTGGAGGGCAAAACTGATTTAAACAAAAAAAAAAAAAGAAGAAGAAGACGAAGAACAGCAGACAAGAAGGAGGTAGTTTAGCAAACCGAGGCTTAAGCAAGCAGGCTGTGCAGTCCAAAATGGTTCCTCTTCCATGTGTAAGTTGGCTTTGTGACTAACTATTCCGTCCTCATTTATTGAGGGCTGCGCCTCTGTAGCTGCCCTGTGCCTGGTGAGGGGCGGCAAGGCCCCCCTACACCCTGTTCTTATCAACCCTTCCTATGACGAGGGGACGAAAACAGGGAAGGGAGAAGGTAACCCAGCGAGGGTGAGCCTCCCTCAGCAGGCGAGAAGAGCCACGTGGTAGTTGGTCTGTGACGATCGAAGGCAAAAATCTTTCTGCATCCAGAAGATGTAAGCTCAGAGGCCAGAGGCGGGGACCAGCTTGGGGTAGTCAAGGTGAAGGTGGGCCATGATAAGCCAGCGACAGTGTTGTGGGAGCTGAGATCAACCACAGGGACCTGGGCATGCAGGCTGGATCTTAGTGCAGTAGATGCTGGAGGATTGCAGGTACGGCCG